AGTGAATAATGGGAGGATTTCACTGTCTTGGAAGTCAGTTTAACATTCCCTAGGGAGAGGGTATTTTATTTCCTATAGTACAAAGCCTACTAAATGGCAATATAGAACCACAGTCATGCATTTAATATGTCTTAAAAAATTTTATATAACTTCTATTTTCATGGTTGTTTAGAATTGTTTCCTGAAGAAAACCATTCCTTGATCACGTTGCTATCCGTGTCAAAATTGTGTGCACTCTGTAACATCTTTGGTTATGTTAGTCCAATTTTCCTGATAACTTTGTTAATGTGCTGTGAAATACTGAAAATGTGAGTGTGTAGAGTATATGATATTAAATTGTGAATTGGTGGGATTATGTGACAACTTATCAACAGTTGGATATAATGTACCCTGATATCCTCTTTTTCTTTTCTTTTTTTTTTTTTTTTTTTTTGAGACAGAGTCTCATTCTGCACCCAGGCTGGAGTGCAGTGGCATGATCTCGGCTCACTGCTAACCTCCACCGCTCCCACCCCCCACCAGGCTCAAGCGATTTTCCTGCCTCAGCCTCCCAAGTAGCTGGGATTACAGGCACCCACCACTGTGCCCGACTAATTTTTGTGTTTTTAGTAGAGATGGGGAATGACAAAATGTTATTTTGGTGATCCCTGTGAGCCATGCCTCCCAGCATTCACGCCGTTATGTATTTCCTTCCCCTTGAATCTGGACAGGCCTTATGACCTGCTATAACCAGTAAAATGTGTCAGAAGTGACAGTAGACAGTTCTGGGCTGAAGCCTTTAGAATACCTGGCAGATTTGTCTTTTGCACCCTGGTGAACCCAGATACCATGTATGAAGTCTGCCATGCTGTGAAAGCCCAACATAGCCACACGAAGGAGCCCTATTATGGACTGTGTCTCCCCAGAATTCATATGTTGAGATCCCAACCCCCAATATGATGATATTTGGAGATGAGGCCTTTGGGAGATGATCAGATTTAGGTCATGAGGGTGGCCCTCCTGATGGAATTAGTGCTTCTGTGAAAAGAAGCAAGAGCCTAAGAGATGCTAGAACTCTCTCTTTCTCACTCTCTCTCTCTCTCTGCCTCTGCCTCTCTCCCCGCTCAAAGAGGTCATGTGAACACAGAATGAGAAGATGGCCACTTGCAACCCAAGAAGAGATCCCCCCAGCCTCTAGAACTGTGAGAAAATTAATTTCTGTCATTTAAGCTACCTAGTCTATGGTATTATCTGTTATGACAACCCAAGTCTGTTATGGTAGCCCAAGCAGACTAATACAAGCACTGAGCACCAACAGCCCCAAGAGTAACCTGGATGTCACCCAGCACCAACTTGGCAGCCATGCAAGTGAGGCTGTCTAGGGAGAAGATCCTCCCTAGGAAGCAATCTCAGCACTAGAAACATTGAGCAGAGACTAGTAGTTTCCACCAAGCTCTGCACAAATTACAGAACTGTGAGCAAAGGAATCAAATGGCTATTTTGGTGGGTTTTTTTTTTTTTTTGGTTTTGGTTTTGAGATAGGATCTCACTCTGTCACCCAGGCTGGAGTGTAGTAGCTCTATCTTAGCTCACTGCAACCTCCACCTCCTGGGATCAAGCCATCCTTCCACCTCAGCCTCCCAAGGGGCTGGGACCACAGGTGCACACCATGCTGTTATTTTAAGCCATTGTGTTTTAGGTGTTACAGCAGTAATAAATAACTGAAACAACAGAGATTTTTTTGAACTATTGCTACAATGTAGACAATGTGCTCCCTTCAGGTAGTTAACAAAGGCAAATAAAATTTTTATTTTGTAATTATAATTTAAGTTGCTGGAATATGTTTGCATTTGATATTACCTTGAAAGTGAACTATATGAGTAATGACTTTGTGAGCATTATAAAAAATTAAAATGTACAGGCTTTGTGCTCTGACAGAGAGCTGTTACAATGGTTATATGGGTAACTGAGAAAATAGGTAGAATATTAACAGAGTACAGATATGAAATAAAATTTTATATCCTGGCCGCCATGGTGGCTCATGCCTGTAATCCCAGCACTTTGGGAGGCTGAGGCGGGTGGATCACCTGAGGTCACGAGTTTGAGAGCAGCCTGGCCAACATGGTGAAACCCCATCTGTACTGAAAATACAAAAATTAGCCAGGCATGATGGTGGCGCACCTGTAATCCCAGCTGCTGGAGAATCACTTGAACCCAGGAAGCAGAGGTTACAGTGAGCAGAGATCGCACCATTGCACTCCAGCTTGGGAGACAAGAGTAAAACTCCGTCTCAAAAAAAAAAAACAAAAAAAAAAACAGTTTATATACCAAACAGATGTGAGCAGTGAGATGTCCACTAATATTTTTCAGCATTGCACAAATTAAGCTCCAGGTAGCCATTCTGAAATGGCAAAATGAAACTTTCACATCATCTGAAATTAGTTATTTTTAAGATTTAGAATCTTGTTTTATAGAAAATCATGCGTTTTACTCTTCTTGGAAGTGAAGTGAAATGAAGGGTGCTACCTAATGTCAATAGACAAGATGACTTGGAAACACATCAGTGTCACCGTATGGGCCAGACATGGTTTATTGAGCTCAGTACATTATGGCTGTTAAGCAACTGGAAAATATAGTCCTCCTCCTTGACATTCACCACGATGATCAGGTAACTATGAGCCAAAAGAATTGTTCAAATATGGTATTGAACTCTCCAGTTTCTCCTCTAATGGTCTCTGTGGTGTTTGCTGAGAGTAAAGATGAGACACTTTGGTTCTTTTTGGTTCTGTTTTTCCTTCCTCTAGTCTAGGCTTTTACATACCTCTATAGAACCCCTTTGAAATGATTTTAATTTACAAGCCTATTTCTTCCACTAGATAAAGGCCATGTCAACTTTATCTAGGTATCTCTTGGGTATGATCTCATCAACATCCCACACTCTTCCATGGCACCACAGCCACTTTACCTGTGTCCTAATCATGACTTTTTGGCTTTTCCCCTTGGTTTCCCCAACCCCAGAAAAATGGGACAAATGTGGTTGCAAGTTTCTAATGTGGTTTGTGAAAATAGTCCACCTAAATAGAATTCCCCAAAATTAGTGAAGCGTGGAAAGAGTCCAAACATAAGGACTCATATTAAGATCATTACATATATAACATACATATAGGACAGCCATCATGCTCACCCTTTTTCTGCAAGCCATAGCATTCAAAGCAATTTTGAAGAGCTTCAAAGACAAAATGAACAAATGATAATCAGACTTTATTTTTATTTTGTCTTCATTTTAATTGTTCATATCTCTGCAAATGCACCATAGAGCACCAAGGTTAACATTAAAACTGTTGGGCACTTTTTTTCTGGTCAAGCTAATAATAGTTATTTTTAAAAAAAAAAAAAAAAAAAAAAAGAGTTCCTCTGAAGGTGGAGCTCAGCACCATACATCAGGCAAATGTCCTGGGCTCTCTGTGGGGAGCATGACCAACTCCTGTGGTTTGATTCATCGCAGCAGTTCTTTCAACAGCTTTGTTTTGAGATATGAACAAAAGAGCACCAGCTATTCTTATAAGGACCCAAATCTCCCAATTCTGCTGACTTCTTAGGAGTTGATATTTTGAAATTAGAAGGACACCCTTAGGAGTGACTCTTTTTTTTTTTGTAAGTTCAGAGTCTGTTAATCTGGATTAATCTGGTTTACACTCCCTAGAGGCCAGGAAGACACAAGTTTCTCAGCACAGCAAAGATCATGTCTGTGGTTAAACTCAGAAAGGTCTGAGGGAGTAAAGCTCTGAGTGAGGTTTTGCCAAACAAGAGAAGGCTAAATCTGGCTTCTTTGTGCTTAGGGCTACTGATCTCTGTTGGAAGAAACTTTGGCAGATGCAATTCCTCCCTTGCTGGTCTTTAATCTAGGTTAAATAATACCACTTCGTCCCACCTCCACCACCAGGACAAAGAGTTATGCTACTATTATAAATTGTACTCTCCTGTCCACTATTCCTTTCCAAAAACAAATCACATGACATTACAGAAGCTTAATTGCAAAGTATATGAGGTGCTAATATCTATGTATAGCATATTCAAAGTATATGTAGCTAATATCTATATATAAATTCTCTGTGTAAGATTCAGGCCTAAATAAATAAATGAATAAACAAATGAATGAATAAATAAATAAATAAATAAAACCATATTAGCAGTTTGGGGTTCTGAATGTATTTAAATGATCATTGTGAGGCAAACATTCTGACTTGCCTACCAAAATAACCATTCTTTCCTATAATCCCAGCACTTTGGGAGGCCAAGGCAGGCGGATCACCTGAGGTCAGGAGTTCAAGACCAGCCTTGGCAACATGGTGAAACCCCATCTCTACTAAAAAAAATACAAAACTTAGCCGGGCTTGGTGGCATGCGCCTGTAATCCCAGCTACTCGGGAGGCCAAGGCACAAGAATCGCTTGAACCCGGGAGGCAAAGGTTGCAGTGAGCCGAGATAGTGCCACTGCACTCCAGCCTTGGCAACAGAGTAAGACTCCGTCTCAAAAAGCAAAACAAAACAAAACATAAAACAAATAACCATTCTTCCTTTTTCTCTTCAATTAGTGTGAACCCAATATTTAGCTGAGAATATAGCTACCCAGCCCAACAACTACATTTCCAGCCTCTTTTGCTCATGAGATCATGTGACTGAGGTCTTGCCAATGAGATATAAGAAGAATTGAGTGGGACTTCTGGGAAGTCTCCTTGAACAGGAAGGGTGTGTGCTTCTCTGCCCTTTCCTCTGTTTTATCAGAAACATGGGGCCGGGCGTGGTGGCTCAAGCCTGTAATCCCAGCACTTTGGGAGGCCGAGACGGGCGGATCACAAGGTCAGGAGATCGAGACCAGCCTGGCTAATACGGTGAAACCCCGTCTCTACTAAAAAATACAAAAAACTAGCCGGGTGAGGTGGCGGGCGCCTGTAGTCCCAGCTACTCGGGAGGCTGAGGCAGGAGAATGGCGTAGACCCGGGAGGCGGAGCTTGCAGTGAGCTGAGATGCGGCCACTGCACTCCAGCCTGGGCGACAGAGCGAGACTCTGTCTCAAAAAAAAAAAAAAAAAAAAAAAGAAACATGGATGTGATGGCTGAAGATGTAATCAGCACTGGGATGTTGAGGATAAGGGTGAGAAGGGTCACATCCTACTAATGGTAGAGAAATAGAAGAAGCCTGGGACCTGGGTTACTTCACAGGGTCCCAGGATAGTCTGCCTCCAGACTTCTGTACAAGAAAGAAATACACTTCTATCTTGTTTAAGCCACTGATATTTTAGGGTTTTAATTCTATGCAGCTCAATCTAAATCTAAATGATGCACACAAATGTTTACCTTCTGCTACACTGTGGTAGCCCAGCTTCCTAAATGTCTCACTCCATCCCTGTCTATTATCTTGGTGGATGTGGTTACCCCTGAGGTTCTTTATTCTCCCTGACACATTTAGTCACATACTCCCCTCAGTTCTAGGCACCGGTAACACCTTCAGGCTCCCAAAATGACACACCGGAGAATTCCGTTGTCCTAGATAAATGGTGATTTTAGGGCAGGGAATCAAGAAGAGTTTGTCCATTGGATGAACTGCTTTGGCACAATTGCTCGTCTGTTCCCTGCCCTCCTGGAACCCTCAAGATGATAAAACTGATCAGTATGGACTATGGTTCCCAGAAGAACTGCAGAGAGCAGGGGGTAATTTAAAGAAAGAATCTGCTGGAATTGTAAGATGATATATAGGCTACTGGGGCCAGAGGAGGAAGTAAGTTGTTGGGAGTTTAGACCGTGGAGGTTTCTACCTCTTGGATGGGGTCCTTGTTGGAGAGAGTGCTTGAGATATTGTCGGATTCAAGCAACTCTACAATGCTGTAGGGAGAACAGTCCTCTAGACCCAGCTTGCTGCAGAGCCAGCCACAGAAGCCTTTCTCCATGTCCCGGGCAGCTTGCCACCATGCTCCCCAGGACCACGAGAGCTGGACCACAGCGGCGTAAAGGCCCAGGGAGGAAGCCATGGCCATGATGAGCACTGGATAGAAGAGAATGAGGCAGGGGCAATACGAGATCTTGTGCCAGAAAGTCCTTTCCTCATTATACACGAGGAAGATGTTGTACCAGGTGATAGTGCCATAGTAGAAAGAGACAACAAAAGAAAGGATGAAAACCACAGGCAGGCAGACCAGCGTCCAGAGGACCACATGGGGCCCACGGTCGGCTCCCACCTGGCAGGCCATTCTTCCTTCAGGCGTCGTTTCCCTTGATGACTCTTTAGGCTTGGTCAGTTCCTGCAGCTCTTTCTCTGTCAATGTGACATGGATGTCCACCATCTGACCCTTTTTCTTCCCTCGTGTGATGGTCCCAGTTAAGGTGACATAGCGGCTGTCCAGAGGCAGGTTCCACATATCTGCAGGGTACAAAGGAGGTGAGAGTCAAGATCAGAAGAGTGGGCATTGCATCTCCATGTCGCACCCTCCCAGGCTGGGCATGAGGACAAGAGTAGCCTTTTTTACAGCATCTGGCACAGTCCTGAGTCAGTGATTCAATGGGGGACTGAGTGGGTCTCCCTTGGGAAGGCGACCACTGGTGTTATTGCTCCCACGTGCCTGGGCCCTGATAAAATTGTGAGGCATGTTAAGCTTGTTTTTCATGTACTCTCTCTGCTTTTGGGGGCCTCAATCTTGGCACAATCTCTGTGGCATGGAGGAGTGTGAGGAACTTTGATACAGACATGATGCAAATGATGATCCTATTTCTAGGTAACCGGTGCTGTGAAGATACTGTTCCTGTGTATCAGCTACTCTGTCAAGACTGTATGTGTGTGCACTGGACTGATGGACAGCCACCACCTTCCCTTATCATGAGAGGGGGCCCCTCACATGCCTGATCCAGCCCTCACATCTAGGGGCTGCACGCACACACACATGCATCCCACATATACCATACACATACACCCTCTCACATACTACATACACACCATACACACACACACACGCCATCTCCCATACACACGACACTGTCCCATACACACAGCACACCATGCACATCACATACACATACCACATACATACCCCATACACACACCACATACCCCAAACACCATACATAACACATACACCACACACATGCCACACACAACCTCCCCACACCTGCCACATACAACACATACATACACACGCCATATACACACCACATACCCATACATACCACACATACACACAACATACACACATCACACACCACACGCACCCCACACACACATAGACACATCACACACACCACACATACACACACCATACATGCACACAAATGCTACCCCCCACACATTCCACATATACGCACTACACATACCCACCCACATGCCATAGGCACACACCACATAATATACACATTCTACACACACACCACATACCCATACATACCATACCACACATACCATACACATACACACACCACACACATACCACCCACACATACATACACCATATACTCCCCCATACCACACCACCCACACCCATCCACACACACAACACACCACACATCACACACATACCATACAACACACACAAACAGCCCACACACCTCCACATGCACCACACCCACACCGCACACCACACATACACACACATACATGACACACCCACACAGAACCAAATAGCCATCTTCTGGCCACCCTAGAAGTCTGGGTGGGGATGGGAAAATACAGGCTTTAGGCAGGCATGGACCTTGGGCCCTGTGGCCTCCTTGCCCCACAGCTGAGAGATAAGACGAAGTCACTTAAAGAGCAGGGCCCTGGATAGTGGCAGGAACTCTGCTTACCCAGAGAAAAGGAATGTGCAGTCCCCCAAGCCCCATCTTTTCCCAGTCTTCATCACGGTAAACACCACCATCTATCCTCTCTGTCATTCCTGTCAATCACCCAGGAGTCATTATTGATTCCCCTCTTTCCCTCACTCCCTGCCTCTGGTCAATCAGCAAGTTCAGATTGCATCCTGAATCCAGCTTTCTCCCGCTATCACCCGAACTTCTCCATTAGTGCTACTGTGGCTGCAGGGACATAATAGTCTCCCATCAGCATCCAGTCTTAACCCTTATAATTCATTCTTTATAGAGAAGCCAGAGTGATCTTTTACAAATATAAACGAGATGATGTCTCTTTGCTTAAAAGTCCTCCATTGCCTTCCTCTTGCACCTGGAACAAATCCCAAACTCTTTGCCAAGACCTGCAAGGGTCACCAGGATCCATCCCCTGTCCACCTACCTGTCCTCCTCTCACCATCCTCCCGCTTATTCCCTATACTCCCTACACTGAAATAACTCCTTTCCATAAACAGGTCAAAGCTGCTCTCACCTCAGGGGCTTTGCCCTTGCTGTGCCGCCTCCTCCAAAAACTCTGCCCTAGAACTTTTCGCGGTGGCTCCCTCATGTCATTTGGATCAATTCAAATGTTACCTCCTCAGAGAAAGCTTTCACAACCATGCAATCTCTCCCCCACCACCTTCCACCCTCCACCAGTACTCATCTTCCCATCAGCGTGGTTTTGTCATCTTCGGAACTCATACCACTACCTGAAAAAGTATCTTTTATTTGTTGACTTGTTCATTGTCTGTCTTTCCCTGAAGGTCAACTGCAGAAGAGCAGGGAAATTGCTTATCTTATTCACTGTGAGCATATGTCTTAGAGATCTATCCATCTACACAAGTAGATCTGCCTCATCTCTCTACAGCTGCACAATAATAATAATTATTATTATTTTTTTGAGATGCAGGCTTGCTCTGTCACCCAGGCTGGAGTGCAGTGGCAGGATTTTGGCTTGCTGCAACCTCCACATTCTACAAACACACATTCTCCATCTCCCAGGTTAAAACAATTCTTGTGCCTCAGCCTTCGAAGTAGCTGGGACCTCAGGCATGCCCCAGCACACCTGGCTAATTTTTGTATTTTAGTAGAGATGGGGTCTCACCGTGTTGGCCAGTCTCAAACTCCTGTTGTTGGTCTCAAAGTCCTGACCCCACGTGATCTGCCTGCCTTGGCCTCCCAAAGTGCTGGGATTATAGGTGTGAGCCACCGTGCCCAGCCTCCACAATAATTCTTAATACAAATACATCATAGTTGCATTAGCTGCAACAAATATTCGTATACATGCCTCCTTATACAAGGATAACATGGGCACAAGTTTCATGGAGTATATATTGATAATTTCTGGGTCATGAGGTATGCATGTTTTGAACTGTGAATTTTACTAAATATTTAATAAATGTTGACAAGTTTCCTCCACAAAGTAGTTGAGGCAGTTTCCACTTTCACTAAGGTGCATGAAGTATATCCATTTTCTCATATTGATGTATTCATAGTTTACCCAATTTTTGGCAAGCCTACATGGGAAGGAATACTATATCTCATTGTTGTCATCATTTGCCATATGATTTTCTTATGGCAAATTTTCTCATAATTTTCTTTATTTATATGAAAGTCAACAATTATTATTTTATATACATTAAGTAGTTAGCATAGTCTGCTTGTGTTACCAATTTTTGTGTATAAATCAGCCTCTTCCATTACATTAGGAATTCTGAAAGGGTGGAGATTTCTGTACTATCTAGAAAAAATGTAATAGGTGCTCAGTAAATACCATTTGTTGAATGAAGACTGTAATATTGCGCCAGGCGCAGTGGCTCATCCTATAATCCCAGTGCTTTGGGAGGCTGAGGCGGGTGGATCAATTGAGGCCAGGAGTTCAAGACCAACCTGGACAACATGGTGAAACCCAGTCTCTACTAAAAATACAAAAATTAGCAGGGCATGGTGGAGCATGCCTGTAGTCCCAGCTACTCAGGAGGCTGAGACAGGAGAATTGCTTGAACCCAGGAGGTGGAAGTTGCAGTGAGCCGACACCACGCCACTGCACTCCAGCCTGGGTGACAGAGCAAGACTCTGTCTCAAAATAAATAAATAAAAGATGGTAATATTGCAAGAAGAAATGTATCACCAAGAAGAAATAGGTCAGTAAGCATACGCCTGTCTGTTCTGGAAGATGCCCTTTTGGTTTCCTTCTCATGGCTTTAAACACGTGGGCTAGAGAGACTTACCATCATCCACAGGGTAGTCTAGGAAATCATCTCCCTCCTCCTCTTTCGGCCGATCTCCACCTTCTGATTCACTGGGCTCCTCGTCTGTTTTCTCGTTGTCTGAGCGGTAGATGATGATGGATTCTGGGCGTGACTCTTTCCTCTTCTTTTTCCTGCGCCCTATTGTGGATTCGCCATCCAGCGCCAGGGCAGCAGCCACAGCCTTCCTGAGAGAGCCCTGGTGGGGGCTTGGGAGCTGGACCTGGCCTTCTACTGCTGCTGGCTCTTCCATCCCAGCCCTGACGTCTACCTATGTATTATAAAGAGTTGGACTTCTTTGAGCAAACTCACAGTTCACACATCACAGAGCTTCTTCCTAGATGGGGCTATGCGTGTCCCAAGGATGCATTCCACCTGAAAGATAGGAAAGCAAAACCATCAACAGGAAGCAAATGGGGTGAGATGGACAGGAATGTGGGAAAGGATCCTCAACTTGGCAGAAGCCTTCCTCTCCCTTTACTTCTTGCAACACTTTATTTTGGGAGTGCAATAGAAATCTCTTACAATAGATAGTGAATAAACTTTTGCTACAGTAATATTTTTATCATTTATACAAACATATAATATTTGGCAAAATCCATGTGAAGGAATACTATATCTCATTGTTGTCATAATTTGCATTTTCCTTATTCATATGAAAGTCAACAATTATTATTTTTTTTACATACATTAAGTAGTTAGCATAGTCTGTTTGTGTTACCGATTTTTGTGTAGAAATCAGCCTCTAGTTGGAGCATGCAGAGTATAAGGAAGTTGGGTGAGGAAGCCTTACCAGTAAATGAGAGTTAAGAATCACAGGTAGGCCAGGCGTGGTGGCTCACCCCTGTAATCTCAGCACTTTGGGAGGTTGAAGCGGGTGGATCACCTGAGGTCAGGAGTTCGAGACCAGCCTGGCCAACATGGCAAAACCCCGTCTCTACTAAAAATACAAAAATTAGCCGGGCACAGTGGTGGGTGCCTGTAATCCCACTACTTGGGAGACTGAGGCAGGAAAATTGCTTGAGCCTGGTGTGGGGGTGGGAGCAGTGGAGGTTGCAGTGAGCCAAGATCATGCCACTGCACTCCAGTCTGGAAGACGGAGCGAGACTCTGTCAAAGGAAGAAAAAAAAAAGAAAAGAAAAAACCACAGGTGGCTGGGACCAGTACTCCAGACTTCTGGCTATTGAGTCATACATTAAAACTATACTCAAATGGATAAATATAACATTAAGCAAGCCACTCACAGATGGTACAACCTCACCAACCATGTCTACCTTGCTATTCTGTAAAGGAAATCTGTCTCCTGGCTTCTTGTCAGCCCACAATCTCAAAAAGTTGCTGGGATTTGTCCTATCACATGCTGCAAGAGCAGTGGAGAGGCTTCACTTTCACCCTTAAAATAACATTGTCTCTCCACTTTCTGTTCTGGACAGCGCAGGTCTATATACCTGTCCTTCATTATTTTTCCTGGTAACTTATTTGTTAAAGAAAGCAGGTCATTTATCGTGCAGATTCTCATAGTCTGGTTTTTGCTGATTGCATCCCCACAGCATATGCCTCTGAACTCTGTGTTATGAGTTGATAGTTACATAGAAAGTCTTGATCAATTTCATGTTGAAATTTTTTTGGTTGATGGTTTGTTTTGTTTGGCAAGACAACTTTAGAGGTGGTGTTTTGTACTTCCATTAGAAGTCCCCTAATGTCTGGTTGACTCTTTTTGTGAAGTTAATAGCCCATTTATGGCCATTGACTATACCCATTAAATCATTAGGGGTTACAGAATGATGCTATTCCATTTCTCTCACTTCGTCATTTATTAGCTAGAATACTGTCATACACTTTTAACATACCCAGTTTTAATCCTAGTGAAAGAGGCAAATGTTCCTGCTGTTATGCAATATTATTGGCATTTATACTGTGAAAAATAGCATAGGAACTATAGTGGCACCCCATATGGATATAAAAAGTTTCCAAGCTATTTACCAAAAAATTCCCCACTTTTCAAATAACTGTGCATATTATTGAGAATAGCAAGCTTCTACTCACAACCCTGCTGCCCCACACTCCTCGAGGCTGTACACTCTTCAGCAACTCCAGGTTACTGGCTGTTACTTTTGTTCCCAACTCCCAAATCCCTCACTGTATTTCAGTGCTCTCTGAGCTTTTCCTTTCTTGCCACATGTACACCATTTGCCATCCCTTTATTCCCAATAATAAAGCTTCTTCTCCTCTCATGTGTATTCAAATGTTCCCAGTGTCTAGTGGACTGGCCCAGTGGATGGGAGTGGGGCAGTAGAGAGAAGAAAGAAACAAAAATTTCACTAGGCTCTAGGATTCCACTAGGCTCCATTCATTTTGAAGCAAATCTCATGTCTAAAAATTATATATCTTTGGTAATTACCATGTGACAGGAAGGACTGTATATCATATCTCTTCAAATGCCAAAATACATATTTTTTTTCTCATTTCAATGTTTCTGAAATTTAGGTGAATTTTAAGCCCAATGGAATGGCTTTTTCTCTCCCTCCAGGCAGGGGAGCTCTCCTCTGCTGCTCTCTTACCCAGTATTTCCTCTGTCCTCTGTTAATTTTCTTTTCCTTTTTTTTTTTTCTTTGAGACGGAAGTCTCGCTCTTTCACCCAGGCTGGACTGCAGTGGCGCTATCTAGGCTCACTGCAAGTTCCGCCTCCCGGGTTCACGCCATTCTCCTGCCTCAGCCTCCTGAGTAGCTGGGACTATGGGCGCCCGCGCGCCCTGCTAATGTTTTATATTTTTAGTAGAGACGGGGTTTCACCGTATTAGCCAGGATGGTCTCGATCTCCTGACCTCGTGATCTGCCCGCCTCGGCCTCCCAAAGTGCTGGGATTACAGGCATGAGCCACGGCGCCCGGCCCCTCTGTTAATTTTCTTTGTCTTTCTGTTGGATTGGCAGGTGTTGCATCTAAATTAACTTTATACCTGGGCACTTAACCCAATGCCTGGAATAAATCAGGCACCCAGCGACAGAATTGGGAATCTTAGTGGTAGGATCCACAGGAAGAAATGGGCAGGTTTCACTACATCCTCACTGCCTGACTTTGCCTGGGGGGTGTACTGTGGGCAGAATGAGCGCAATTATCTTTAAATTCTTATACATGGAGCTTTCTGGACCAGGAGACTAATTTGGCTGAGGCGTCTAAAAGTACAAAGATGTACACAGGGAGAAGCAGGGGAGACAGCCCTCCGAAGGTAAATAGCTCCCCAGGACATGTAATCCAACCGTTAGAATGCTGAGCAGGCCTTGGGCAATGATGAACTCGACCAGGGCTCTTCTACCAAAGTGGCCTCAACACAGAGGACCGCGGACCTCTACCCACAGGAAACTGAATGTGGAGGCTGAACGCGATCCACCCCCAGGTGAAGATTTTCAGGTTTTGTTGTTAAATATATGTATATGTATATGTATATGTATATGTATATGTATGTACACACACACACTTTTTATTATTACTTTAAGTTCCAGGATATACATATATATGTATATCTATATATGTACTTATACATATGTATATATACACAAATGTGTATATATACACATTTCTCATTCTACTCTCTAAGTAGAATGTTTAATACAAAAATGTTTTCCCTGATCAAGTCCTCTTGTAAACTGACACTCAGAAAGCTGCATCATGGTAATTCTATGGTAGGAACGACCTCTGAACAAACCACTTTGTACCTACTTGAAGGATGCAATGATCACAGCTTGGGAGGCCACCCTAATCCACTGTGTTTTCCTACTTAGATCTTCTGTTTTTCTCTGTAGTTTCCTTGGCCCTTCTATACAGTGTAAGTTTTCATACTAGGGGTTGAGACCCTGAGGAGATTAAAGGACCAGAACTTCTGAGCTGGGAGAAGGTTTATGTTCTGTACTCCTTACTCCTTCTTTGAAGATGTGCCTAGATGTTCAGAAGGGAGACAGAAATGTTAAAGAGTATATGTGAGAAGGCAAGTTGCAAATCTCATACTTCTCGTTCCCTTTTCCTCTCTCTTTGTTGAGGGGATAGTGCTCTAGGAAGATGTGGCAGGGCAAAGTGAACACATGCATGGAGATCATGACCCTTATTAATGGGCCTTACAAACAAAAAAAGGTAGCCGGGTGCGGTGGCTCATGCCTCTAATCCCAGCACTTTGGGAGATCAAGGCAGGTGAATCACTCAAAAAAATTTTTTAAATTTAATTTAAAAAAACATAAAAAAGCTATGGTGTTCGACACTCTTGATTTGGTTGGGCACAATGGGAGAGGCCAATGTTAGATAACAGGAAGAGCTTCCTGAGCCCAGGGACAGACTAATATAGAAAATAGTAGCTAAGAGAAGCTTTGGAGTCTCTTGGGGATATAAAAGATAAACGTGATCATCTTGTCAGCTGATGGCGGAGAGGGACAATCCTATCGGAGGCAAAAAGAGAGATGACTTTTGAACATCCCATTAAAACCTTAGATAAGAAATATGAAATGTAAAGGTTGGTGAGCTCCTGGCCATTCACATTAGGGGGCTATTTTTTGCCTCAGGCACAGCTCATTTTAGAAAGGTGCCCAGCCAATGTCTACTCACAGTAGTCACAGGACAGAGACACTGTCCTTGATTTACCTTGAAACATGATTTCCTCATCTCCCTACAATTAGAACATTATCCTTTGAGACTACAAAATATTCCCACAAACTTAGGAAAAGATGGATTGTTTTGTAGTCATGGTAAAAAGTAGACAGTAGAACCAGTTTTAAACCTGTTCAATTGATTAACAACAATCTCCCTCAGCATCTTAGTCCATTTGAGTGGCCATTAAGAAAATACCGTAGACTAGATGGCTTATAAACAACAAAGATTTATTTTGTACAGTTCTGGGAGCAAAAAGTCCAAGATCAAGGTTAGGGGTTTGGTTAAGGGCTCACTTTCTGGTTCATAGAGGGTGACTTCTGACTGTGTTTTCACCTGGTTGAAGGAGGAGCTGACTAGCTCTCTGGGCCTCTTTTTTTTTTTTTTTTTTTTGAGAGGGTATCTCACTCTGTCACCCAGGCTGGAGTACAGTGGGGCAATCTCAGCTCACTGCAACCTCTGCCTCCCGAGTTCAAGTGATTCTTCTGCCTCAGCCTCCCAATTAGCTGAGACTACAGGCGCCCGCCACCACGCCTGGCTAATTTTTGTATTTTTAGTAAAGATGGGGTTTCACCATATTGGCCAGGCTGGTCTCAAACTTCTGACCTCATGATCTGCCCGCCTTGGCCTTCCAAAGTGCTGGGATTACAGGCGTGTGCCACTGAGTCCAGCCTCTGGGTCTCTTTTATGGGGGTACTAATCCCATTCCTGAGGACTCCACCTTCATGACCTAAAGCCTCACCTAAAGCCATCACCTTGGGGGCTAAGATTTCAACATATGGATTTTGGGAGAACACAAACCATACCATAGCACTCAGCAAAGTTGTTTTTGGAAATTAACCTATCAGTCAGTCCTTTGTTTCTGAAAGTCAATCAGGTGAGTGACTCTCTCCCTGTTTGGCTGATTTTCACACTAGTGTGAGTTGACTTTTGGCCAATCAGGGTCTGGCACTCTGATGTTGGCTTTCAAAAACGTGCTCACTTAGGCAGTTGTTGATTTAACATGTTTAAAACCAGTTCTGGTGACTACTTGTTATCACGAATACTGAAAAAACAGTGTTTTCCTAAATTTGGGGGTATTTTTTATTGTTCCTGCAAGGCTGGAATGATATCAGATGTCTCAGTACTAGAATATGAGTTATCTGTTGTCATGCAACAAATAACCCAAAAAGTAAAGGTTTAAAACAATAAAAAAGTTATTATCTCACACAATTATGTGTGTCAAGAAACTGGGAGTGCCTTAGCTGGGTGGTGAGTAGTCTTCTCTACCTGCTTCCTGCCTATAGAATTTGGAGGTCCAAAAGCCTTTTGTTTTGTTTTTGTTTTGTATGGTTTCTGAACCTTTTAGTGTTCTGTGAACAGAATTTTCTCAAAAATTCTGTGGGATTCCTATAAATAGTTTCTCTGAGTCAGAAATGTGAGAGTGGCTTAGCTGGTTTTGTTTCAAGATCTCTAAAGATGTCAGGGCTGCAGTGATCTGAAGGCTTGAATGAGGCTAGATCTGCTTCCAAGATGGTTCACTCACATAATGCTGACTCAGTTTCTCTCCACGTGGGCCTCTCCATGGTCCACCTGAGTGTCCTCATGAAAGTGGCTGGCTTCCCCCAGTGTGAGTGGTCTGAAAACAGGTATTTTCTTTGACCACCCTGACTTGACTTTTGATCCCATCTCTTCCTCATCTTTGATTTCCTCCTTCTCCAATAGCTCCAACTTCCTTCTACTGGCTCTTTCCCCTTTGCCTTCAAACAAACTCAGAGTTCCTTATCTAGAAAAAAATAACTTTACCTTGCCACTTTACTCTATCTGATATCCCATTTTTTTCTCCACCAAGCTTTTCTATCAAATAGTTTATAGCCACTCATATCCAGTTCCTCCTGCAATCTTCTGCCCTCTTTTTCTCCCCACTCCCAACCTCCGTACACACACACATATGCACATGATGCAAATCACTTGCAAAGATGATTTAGGCCAGGAAATTAGCATGTATCAAGCCTTAGGTGTCAGGCTGTAAGGTAAACTCTTTATAGACGTTACCTTACTTGCATGTCTCAACAAGCTTGACGGGTAGGTCTTATTTTCCTCACTTGACCTATTAGGTTCAACATGTTAAATATAGCAGTGAGAGAACTTGGGTTTAACTCTATACTTGCATAACTCTAAAGTCCAAGATTTCCCCACTGAGAGTTAGAAGTCAAGGCCGGGTGTGGCGGCTCACGCCTCTAATCCCAGCATTTTGGAAGGCCAAGATGGGTGGATCACTTGCAGTCAGGAATTCAAGACCTGGCCAACATGGTGAAACCCTGTCTCTATTAAAAATACAAAAAGTAGCTGGGTGTGGTGGCGCATGCCTGTAATCTCAGCTACTCAGGAGGCTGAGACAGGAGAATCGCTTGAACCTGGGAGGTAGAGGTTGCAGTGAGCTGAGATCGTGCCACTGCACTCCAGCCTGGGTGAGAGAGTGAGACTCTGTCTCAAAAGTAAAATAAATAAAATAAAATATAATGAAAATAAAAAACTAGAAGTAGTCAAGTTATAGTAGCTGCAGTGAGCAGCTGATGGTTTTTGGGTTTTTGGTTTTGTTGTTTGCTGTCGAAAACCCTATTTCTCCTTCATTTGATGACAGATCCACTCATTTCGGTGAGGAACAGTCTTGAAAGTGCCTGATGGGATCACAGTGACCACTTCGCCATTCTTACTCTCCTTGTCACACCAGTGCTGTTAATTCCACTAATTTCCAAATCTTTCTTGAACCTTCCCTCACCTCCTTTAACTTTCTACTCTCTCTTTTACCTCTCAAACCTTCCTTCTGTCTCTTTTGCTCCCTTATCTGCCTTCTCCAACCCATAATTGCCAGTATTTTGTAGGTCCGATTCTTAATTCATTGTCCTCTATTCTCAATAACACACTCTGTTCCTCTTGTTGAAATATACAGCCTTCCTGCACACAGCTGTAGGACCACTGCTATACCAAGAACACCCAAATCTAGATCTCAAGACTGTATCTCCAATAGCCTGGCAAATATTTTCTAATTGAATTCCCATCATTTTAGCAAAGCATGTTCAAACCAAACTCATGTTTATTTACAGCAGACAACCTCTCAGTGTTACTAAGAGGAAAGGAAAAGGGGGAAAGGACAGGAGAAAGGGATGAAGAAGGAAACTCCACAACATTTGTGGGGTTTACTGACTGTATAATTTGGTAGGTTCTGTGTTAATTGATTATATAGTTCAGGCATTATCTCACTTAATTACACATTCAAAAAGTATTTATGTATTCATTTATTTTTAGAGATAGGGTATTTCTATGTTGCCCAGGATTGACTTGAACTCCTAGGCTCAAGTAATCCTCCCACCTCAGCCTCCTGAGTAGCTGAGACTACTGTCATGTGCCACTGTGCCCGGCTTCAGTAAATACATATTAAGTAACACTATGTGCTAGATATTGCACAATTGTTCTAGGTACAATAAATCTTTTTTTTTCTTTTCTTTTTTTTTTTTTTTTTTGAGACACAGTCTCGCTTGGTCACCCAGACTGGAGTGCAGTTGTGTAATCTCAGCTCACTGCAACCTCCATCTCCAGGTTTAAGCGATTTCTGTGCCTCAGCCTCCTGAGTAGCTGGGACTATAAGCATGTGCCACCACCCATTTTTGTACTTTTAGTACAGATGGGGTTTCACCATATTGGCCAGGCTAGTCTTGAACTCCTGACCTCAAGTGATCCATCTGCCTCGGCCTCCCAAAGTGCTGGGATTACAGGTGTGAGCCTGGCCTAGGTACAACAATTTTATGAAGCAAGTATTATTTTGCAGACGAGGACACTTGGACTTAATAATAGTAACAACAGAAACTTATTGGATGTTTATTGTGTGCCAAGTGCTCTAAGTACTTTAAAATAATCATATTGTTCAATATTCACAACAAACCAATGAAGTAGGTACTGTTTTTATTCCCATTTAGAGGAGAAATTTGCTCAAGCTTACATAGCTAGTAAGTGGTGGGGATGGAACTCACACCCAACTTTGCTAATTTCAAAGCCCATGTTATTTTCATTGTGCCATACTACTCGCCAACATTTATCCAAAGATCTATAAACTTCTAGAATGTTCTTTGATGAACCCATTTCCTATATGAAGGACATATTTCCATATACCTAATAATAATTAGTCTCAAAGTACTGCTAGTCATTCCTATGAAATCTTTTTGTTAATTTGTTCATTTGAATTTCTCCTACCACCATATGCCAGAATATAGCCTTCATACTACTTCCTGTAAACTGGAAGTCATTCTAAAATAGAAGACATTCCTCTACCATTTTTTACCATATTAATGTTGATTAATAAACAAAACAAAACGAAACAAAACAAAACAATATTTTTATTTTGTCTTGCCATTACTGACTAAAATACATCTGAAGGCCTGTCTGGTGTTTGAGGCTCTCCATATTTGCGCCCCACCCTAGGATTCAGAAACAGTTTTTCCCCTTCCCTTTCCCACATGACTACTCAACACATCTGCTTATGTTGATTTATTCATCTTTGTCACATTTCTCCACCTTTTTCAAGCCTGGCTCAAGACACACTCACTCACTCACGTCCTTTCCTGTGACTACCCCAGCCCCCACGTCCTCTCCTCCCACCCTAACCCTGTGTTGCAGGTGTATGGTGAGAATTCAATGAATGGCCCAGTATAAAATGCCTAATACATGACTGACACTTCATAAATATGTTTCTATTCCCTTTATTTGGCCTCCTTCTATATGCAATGTAATAGCATTTGCCATCTGAACCATACTCTTAATACTTAATTACACAGCATTTCATATCATTGTATGGATTATAGATGGCATCATGAGTTTTCATTCATCTTCCTAAGTAGATAACAAACTTCTAGAGATCAGGAACTCTCTTACTCTTTTTCTTCACCACCAACGGGAAAACCCCAGGGCTGGACATATAGGACAAAGACAGTATGTATTTGTTGACTTGATAGGACAGAGAAGAGAAAACGCCTTACCAGAAATATGACATAAATAGCTGTTAAGAAAGAAAAGCTTAATTCTCTTCCCCATTTTTGTATACTTTATTATGCTGTTAGTATTTGATCTGAGAAGCAGGTTCTAAACATCTCTCCTTCCTTTTAGATTTCATAAGAGAGAGGTTAAAAGAAAATCTTACCCAATTTCCAAGGCTTTAATCAATAGACTTGGGAGGAGAGAGAGGACTTTGTTCTTTTCTCTGGAAGTTAAGCTGTGCCCATCTTCCACTTCCACTTCCAGTCTAAAGATTATTAATAGGCTGGTCACGGTGGCTCATGCCTGTAATCCCAGCACTTTGGGAGGCCGAGGCAGGTGGATCGCTTGAGATTAGGAGTTTGAGACCAGCTTGGCCAACATGGTGAAACCCCCTCTACTAAAAAATACAAAAATTAGCCAGGCATGGTGGCACACACCTGTAATCCCAGCTACTCTGGAGGCTGAGGTAGGAGAATTGCTTGAACCTGGGAGGCGGGTGACTTCACCCTGGGTGACAGAGCGAGACTCTGTCTGAAAAAAAAAAAAAAAGATTATTACAAATGTGATATTACAGAGTGTTAGCTTCAAGCAACCATTAACTCTGGACTCTTGGTCATTGTAGGGGGGAAAACAGGTTTTTAAGAACATGCTTATACTCTAGAATTCATTCTTAGAATAATTGCTTTTAAGCCACTTTTGAAAAAAACTATCCAGATAATTCTTTTTTTTTTTTTTGAGATGGAGTTTTACTCTTGTTGCCTTGGCTGGAGTGCAATGGCACGATCTCAGCTCACCACAACCTCTGCCTCCCGGGTTTAAGCAATTCTCCTGCCTCAGCCTTCTGAGAGGCTGGGATTACAGGCATGCACCGCCATGCCCAGTTAATTTTGTATTTTTAGTAGAGATGGGGTTTCTCCATGTTGGTCAGGCTGGTCTCGAACTCCCAACCTCAGGTGATCCGCCCACCTTGGCCTCCCAAAGTGCTGGGATTACAGGCATGAGCCACCACTCCCGGCCCAGATAATTCTTAAATTCATCTACCCAACTTTCCCATCTCCACTGCTTCTCCTCTGGTCTAGGAGGCCACTGTCTCTTAACTGTGGTTCTAAAAAAAAATGCTCCTATCTTCCAGCTTCCACTCTTGCTGCCTTCCAATCAATTCCTCACTCAGCAGTAAGAAACATCTTTTACTTAATTTTTTTTTAAAAATTTTTTGAGACAGAGTCTCGCTCTGTCACCCAGGCTGGAGTGCAGTGGCATGATCTCGGCTCGCTGCAACCCCCACCTCCCCGGCCTGATTCGCCTGCCTCAGTCTCCCAAGTATATGGGATTACAGGTGTGTGCCACCACGCCCAGCTAATTTTTGTATTTTTAGCAGACATGGGGTTTCACCATGTTGGCCAGGCTGGTCTCAAACTCCTGACCTCAGGTAATCTGCCCACTTCAGCCTCCCAAAGTTCTGGGATTCCAGGCATGAGCCATGGCACTCAACCAGAAACATCTTTTTAAAACATAAAGAAAATCAGATTGCCAGGTGTGGCAGCACGTGCCTGTCATCCCAGCTTCTTGGGAGGCTGAAGCAGGAGAATTGCTTGAACTTGGGAGGCAGAGGCTGCAGTGAGCTGAGATCGCTGCCATTGTATTCTAGCCTAGGAGACAGAGTGAGAATCCATGTCAAAAATAAAAATAAAAAGAAAAAAGAAAATCAGGCTGTTTTCTGCTTAAAATCCTCCTGAAACTTCCTACTGTTATACAGGTGGAAGTCCATGTGGCCTAAGGACCTCCTGATCCTGCCACTCCATCTATACCACCATAGGAGGTACACTATGCTCCAATCACACTGGCTGTATATTTATTCCTCAAGAGCACCAAATGCTTCCAAATGCTTGAGGTCTTCTTCAGTGCTGTCTACTTTGCTGCTCTGCCACTCCACCCCTGCCTCTTCCTATGCCCGTTTTTTTTTTTTTTTTTTGAGTCCTTGTTCAAATGTCTCCTCCTCTGAGCCCTTCTTGACAACCAAACTAAAAACTTGACTCCCTGCTCTGCCTCTCATTATTCTTCATCACAACAGCTTGTTTCCTGTATAAGACTTACCAACATTTGTGATTATTTATTTTTCTTTTACTTATGTATTGCATAGCTCTTCTACTAGACTCTAAGCTCTATGAAGTGGTACCATAGAAGACGACCAACAAGTAGATGTTCGATAAATCTTTTTAAGTGACTGGGTGAAGTGGTAGCAACTCAAGAATAGCTTATTTCTGTGAAAGCCTGAGACTAAGGAGAAGTTTAATAAAAAGACATCAATAAGCTCCTTTATATGCCTCATTACAGCACAATTGCTAGGGAGTTTTGCTTCGAGGTGGGGGCAGGACCAGATGCCTCACTGACATTCCTTCAGCACTGAGATTCTGGAAGTCTAAATGTTGAGAATCCCACAAGCCCCTGTCAGTCTGAGCTAGCAGCTGCTTTGCAGAGGGGAGAAAATAAAGTTACCAGGCAGATGGGGTGGGGGAGGGGTGGGAAGATGAAGGCAGTCATTGCTAATGGGGTATGACAGAGCCATGGGGAGAGGTTTGGGGGTGTGGGAGGACCTTGGCCACAGGAATGCCTTTTTCCCTAGGACAAAGAGGGCAGTGACACAGAGCACAGGGAAGAGCAGCATTTGATTCAACCAAAGGAGTGGTCAATGCCGCATGGCGTGGTTGCCTTGGGAAGAGATGCCTCAACTGGAGGCAGAATTAAAATCTGAAACAAAGAGCGTCCAAGCAACAGAACTATTGCTGTGCTTCCAGGCCTTTTCGCCGGGAACTTGGTGGATTAGTGGACTTTCAAACCCTGACAGAGGTCAGAGGCAGAGGCAGAGATCATGCCTCTAATTTTAAACAAAAGATCACTTGAAGAGACCCCAAAGCTCTCTTAATCGCAGGTTCTGCCTGGATTGTGAAAAATCGCCTTCTGACTGCTCATCCTGCAGCTTCCTTGCAGCTGAGGAATGGCACCTTGTCATCCTCAGTGGGCATCACTGGCTTGCAGCCCTCAGTCCCTGTTTCACTGGAAGACATCAGAATCCCACTCTCAGTCTACTCGGCAGCCACACGGAAGCTGCAGAACAGCCAGATTCCCACTGACCTGCCCTGGCACACCTCTGAGAATCCATGGGTCCAGATCAGGGCATAAATCATGTTAAGTTATATCTTCAGTAAAGTTATCATTTAAAAGAATTTAAAGTGTCCCCACCCACAAGAAAGAAAGCGTGGACTTTTCTTGAATAAGTTACCCCTCAGAACTGAATCAATATTTCTTTTCCTTAAAAAAAAAAATACTTTGTCATTGGGATCAAACCAAGAAGAGGTATATTTTTCTGCAACAATACTTTGAGCTTTCCTGTTTGAATTTACTTTGTCTTAAAGGAGGTGATGGTGTTGTGATTTTGAAAAATTGGTCCTAACTACAGAACTGACTTAAGTAGTAGAGGTAAGTGATTCCTGGATAAACTATCTAGCAAATGGCAACCAGGAGATTTATCCTTTTCTTTAATGAGTGTAGATTTGAATCTGTCAGCAACAAAGATAGAGGGAGAAGTGTTTCTAAAAAGAGATCAGAGAAGGACAAGAGGATGGAGGAACAGGGAAGTGTAGCTTCCAACAAGAACCGCAGCCTGGCTGGTGGGTGGGACCTCATGGAGGAAGTGATGTCTGATTCCTCTGTCAACCAGACCCATTTCCAAATGGCTTTTGAATCCTAGGTGGTAGGTCCAACAAAAGGATGATGGCATTTATTTGCCTTTATATCGTTTTAATACCTGTCAGGGGAAAATGCAACACTCTGACAACAGCCTTAGAAATAGCATCCCACCTGGATTGTTAAGACCACGGCAACTGGCACATTTGGCCAAGTTCTTATGGTGAAGTCTCAGTAGGCCAGTCCAGGTGTAATCTGACTGGTGGGTTGACAGCGGGAAGCGAGATGAAAAATAAGGAGCAGATCTGAATAATAAATCACTGTTACTGGGCACCAAAACACAGATGAGAAATTTCCCTCATCCTCAGCAGGTTCACCCTCCTGCACAAGGAATCAACTACAGGACATGATCTCAAACACCTATAGAAGCATCTTGCAGGAAGTGTACACCCTTCAATGAAAGATCCTCTTCTGGACTTGCTATGCAGCCCAGCTGAAATGGATCAGGTCTCAAATCTGGTAAAGATGATCTTTCCCCTTGATTTTTGGGTGGGGAGTGGGAGGTGAGACAGGGGTGGGCCTGAGTTTATTTTTTAAATCGTGTATTCTCTTGGTTCTGTGGAAAACTGCAACCGTATCTCCTCTTCTCCTTCACTCTCTCCTCCCGGGCTCCCTCCCCAAGGATGAAAGGATCTGAAAGTCGGATTTCTCCCCCTCAGCTAAGCCTGCCCTTTCTCCCCTTCCCAGCCAGCAGCACACAGCACCTGGAGCCCCAGCATCGCCGACGTCCGACCCTGGCAGGCGGGCGCAGCGAGGGCGCCGAGCTGCAGCCCTTTTCCAGCTGCACTGGAAATTTAATTATAATTAATCGTGAGAGCTTCAGCCTTGAGGATTGAATTTTTGAAATAGAGCACACCCCGCTGGTTTCTTTCTGGTCTTTTTTTTTTTTTTTTTTTTTTTTGCATTTCCCTTCCACCCTCCCCAATGGCATCGAAATTTAAGAAAACGAACGAGGAGTCTCACCCACACCTGCCCAGGGACCGACGCTGGCGGAGGATGCGGACAGCCGGCGAGGAGCTGTTCTGCTCGTGGAGGATGCGGCTTTGCCGCGGCGCGCGGGCGGGGCGAGGGGCGGGGCGGGGCAGGGCCGTGCAGGGGAGGGGGCGGGGTCCTGGCTGTCACGTGGGCTCGGGCCCTGCCCGGCCCTCCCGCCCGCCTCGAATGGCTCTGAGAACCAGCAGGGCCACAGCTCAGCTGTGCTGGCACGCCGCTGCAGAGATGGCCTCCTGGGCTAAGGGCAGGAGCTGCCTGGCGCCTGGTTTGCTGCAGGGCCAAGTGGCCATCGTCACTGGCGGGGCCACGGGCATCGGAAAGGCCATCGTGAAGGAGCTCTTGGAGCTGGGTACGTGAGCGGGCCGCTGGTGCACAGAAATGGCTGGGGTGTCCTGGAGTAACCTGGAATCGGGAGCCAGGGGCTCTCGGCGGGGCGGGGGAGTGCGGAGCTGCAGAGCAAAGCGGGGGCAGGTGTGGGCGAAATTACGACCACCATGGAGACAAAAGAGAGCAGTTCTTCCTAAGGAATTATGGAGCCACTGGTTAAAAACTAAAGGGACCACTCAGGCCAAAGAGACTGTGCCCGAGATAGGCAATAAAAAGAGCAAGT